TAAAACTTTTAATAAGCTAGATTCAAAGAATCAACGTTCTAATGTGCCATTCACACCGTCTAATGATAAAGGGAAGTATCATTAAATAATGAAAGGGGAAAGTGAATGCTTATCAAACCTTAAATCCAGTAGGACTTGGTTTTAGTTGCATGGACTTTCACCAGATCATTCTTTATCCGTGGCTTTTTCATTCTGAGAGAAGCGTGCAAGACCAGAAATCAGCTATGGCAATTCATGTCAAAGTTTTCTTTTCTTTTCTTTTTTTCATAGGAATCAGCTTAACTTCATAACAGAGGAGCTGAAAAATCCATACAAGTGAGACTAAAATGTTCTAAATTAAAATTCCAATTGTTTTTATAAACCATGTGCAATCTGTAATATTACAGTATTGTTAGCTGCAATATTATCTGCAAAATGACAATGCAGTATATCTGCAATCTTACATCGTTAGCAATGAAGGTCTTATTGTGTTATTGAAAATGTCTTGTGTTTTTGTTTATATACTGTACAAAAATCTTAGGCATGTTCATATTTTCACACACCAAAAATGGTTTTAAGCAAGTTATCTTTTGCTGTGTAAGTTGGGTATATATTAGTTTACATTTCCAAACATTTATTTTGCCATTAATTGTAATAATCCAGTAAGATTTGTGTATGCACAATAGTCGGTATGATCCACACACCATCTGATCTCACCATCATCGAGTCAGTCTGTGATGCATGAAGAAACAGAGAAAAACTGAGACTAAATTCAGAAGAACTGCAGTGTTTGAAAGAAATGTTTGTAATTGTAAACTGATAAATCCAACTTGCACACTACAGAAAAATATAAAAATAACTGTCTTAAAACCCTTTTTGTGGTGAAGTGGTGAAATGTGCCAAAGACTTTTGCACAGTACAGTTATATAGTATATATATAGTACAATATATAGTATTATTATCATGATGGTGTTATTGTATTATTAAAAATGTTCTTTTTTTGTGTTCTTATTTTCACATTTTATAGATAGGTTTGTTTATGATTGATTATTATTCTTTTTTTTTTTTTTACAGAAACCTTCCCCTGGCTATTATAATTGGGATTCCCCTGGTTACTGTGTGCTATATATTTGTCAACATAGCATATTTCACTGTCATGACCCCTGTTGAACTTCTACAGTCTTCTGCTGTTGCTGTGGTGAGTGTGTATTGTAGTCATAGTGTAGTTCCCACTACCACCTGGAAATATCAGGGAATTTTAATTTTTAATTTTTTTCCAGTTCTCTATAAAAAGTAAGTACTTTTCCTAGTTCTAAAATGTTCAACCCAGTAAGTTAATAAATTATTGTGCAATGATCTTTGAGTTGTAATTTAATCATTGGTTTCTCCACAGACCTTTGGTGACAGAGTGCTCTACCCATTATCATGGGTTGTGCCTCTGTTTGTGGTTTTTTCCACTTTTGGAGCAGCAAATGGGAGCTGTTTCACTGCAGGAAGGTTAGGAACTTCGGTTGTTTTATAGAAATTTGCACACAGGATTAAGTGCATGCTGAAAATCGCTTTTTTGGGGGCCTGTCTGTTTGTACCTGTTAGGTTGACGTATGTGGCAGGACGGGAGGGTCACATGGTTAGGATCTTGTCGTACATCAGTGTGAAACGTTTCACGCCTTCTCCAGCTCTCATGTTTAATGTAAGTCTCAATTCCATCCTTAACACTTTTTGGACAAGGCTTATCACTATTTTTGCCTTATTACATCAACCATGACAACTGTTCTAAACACATGAACATTATATTTGATTTGTGATAAAGTATTTGTTCTTGTTTGTGATCTGCAGGGCATCCTGTCAATCATCTACATCATTCCAGCAGACATAAACACTCTCATCAACTACTTCAGTTTTGCTCAGTGGGCTTTCTATGGGCTCACATGCCTTGTGCTCATTGTTATGCGATTCACTAGAAAGGAGCTTCATAGACCTGTCAAGGTTAGAGCACATTATGCATGCATGGTGACACAACATAATGTGACTGAATAAAAAAATGTCAAAAATGTGCAGATGTTATTATCCAAAGCAACTTTAAAATTATGAACATCCTAAGCTATTTGTCATAAGACCCAACAATAAACACAAAGGCGACTTTCAAGAGTGAGCTGGAGTAGAAGCTAAAACAAGTAAAAATCTGAGAATCTTTTTTCATATGTTTATCATAGCAAGTGCCTTTGTTTATGAATTCATTTGCAAAAGAGGTGTGACTTCTGGATTGGTTCTCTTATGAGAGGTTCTCTTGCTACGGGAAAGATTAATCTTTTCTGAGATTTTGAAGTAAAAAAAATGTCCTAATTTTTGTATCCATTGTCAACGCAGTGCAGCAGCTCCAGACCATGAGCGGGCTATCTAGCGAGCTCATTGGTTGCTCTGCGGCAAACTGCTTCAGCCTATAGACGAACTCTTTTTTTTTTGCGATGAACCCGTGTCCAATGAGAGGCGCTCGCGCCGTCATTGCATCAGGAAGGGCATGACCAGCGTGTATAAAAGTGCGGTTCGCGGGCTGCTTCTCTGATTTTTCATCTCTTCAGTGAAGCTCTTTGCATCTCTGAACAGAAGAAGCCACGTCACCATCGCGTTTTTATAGTTTTTTTTTGTATTTGCATTCGTCTTCATCAGGTTGCAGCGCGGTGAGCTCTCTCGGCCACCGTAATGACGGCTCGCTTATCAGCACAGTGCATGCGCCGTGTTCAGCGACTAGCCGCCTCTTTTCAGATGAACAGCCTCACATCTTTGAAAACTTTTCAGAGAATGTTGGGTTACATGGCTTCAGCCGCAGCATTTCTCCAGCTGGGATTACTGGGCATGTGCCCGCTTCAACATTGGCTAAACACCCGTGCGACTCGCCGGGCTTGGGCCACAGGCCACCAGGCCGATCAGAGTGACTCAGTCCTGTATCTCAGCTCTGCAGCCCTGGACAGTGGCTGAATGGTATCAGCGGGGAGTGACTATGGGAGCCGTATCTCGCTGAAAAGTCATCTCGACAGTTGCGTCCAACACGGGTTGGGGCGTGGTCTGCGAGGGCTCACCGGCCTTTGGTCAGCTCAGCAAAAGCTCCTTCACATAAATTGTCTGGAAATGATAGTGGTCGAGTACGTGCTCACTTGCCTCCTCCCACATCTGATAGCGAACGCGGCGCCAATCTCCTCTGCCCAGTTAGAGCACTGAGATTGTATACTGCACGCGCTGCCTCTTTCAGACGCGCTTTGCATCTGTTCATTTCATTCGGAAGGCGCACTAAAGGTCTCGGCGCTTCGAAACAGACACTGTCTAGATGGATAGTGGACGCTATTGCTGCTGCATACGCGTCAAAAGACCTGCCATGCCTCTCACTCCACTAGAGGCATGGCCTTGTCGTGGGCATGGTCCAGCTGGATTTCCATTCACGACATATGTGTGGCAGCAGGATGGGCTTCCCCCTTCACCTTTGTCAGATTTTACAATCTGGAAGTGCCCGCCCTCCAGGCTAAATTACCAGCAGTCTAGTAAATTACAGCTCTCCTGGTGAGCTGCACTAACGGGATACATTCCACACAGACCGGAATACATTTTAATATTTATAATTTTGTCTGTATTTTATATTGCCCATATATAGTTTCTATTCTCGAATGCGTTAGATATTTAAGCTCAATGGCATGGACTGAATCAATCAAATATTGTAAAATGACTATATTACCCAACGTGAAAATGTTTGCCTTTTGTTCCTCTCAGGTTCCGATTGTTGTTCCTGCTTTGGTGGTGATTGTGTCCTGTTACCTAGTTCTCGCTCCCATCATAGACAAGCCTGAGTGGGAGTACCTGTACTGCACGGCGTTCATAGTCAGCGGTCTTCTATTATATGTACCCCTTATTTACTACAAATTCAACTGGACTCGCCACATCATGAGTAAGAAGCTGGAAATTAATTGCACATTTGAATATATAACAGCACACAAAATGTATGCTTGTCTTGACCATGTCTTGAAATTAACAATAATTATGTTTTCTGAATAATATTTCACGTTTTTAGTGGATGTTCACCAGAAACATTGAAATGCTTATTTCTTAAACTTGACCTGTTGATGCTTACAGGGCCACTCACTATGCACCTCCAGCTGCTACTGCAAGTCGTTCCGTCCGAAAAGATTGAGTGAAAGATGTCAAACTTGAGGAAAGACAGACATAACAGCCTGCAATGGACAACAGATTGATCCGTGGAAATGTGGATAAAGGATCCTTAAAGGGAACACAGCTGTTTTTTTTCCAATATGAGACCAGTTTCCAATGTAAGACCATCTATTGTTTTTACAATGGACTGCAGGCCTTTCCCAGGGCACATGGATTTGTTTTTACTTCAAAGAATAACGTATCTTTTCCACGAATGTCTGTAAATTATGACAACTTCCAGTTTATCTAACTTATTTTATAATTAAATGCAAGTTTGTTGTACAGGATAACAATGATATTTTCCACCTTCACTGAACTCAAATGTATTAATTGTGTTAATATATTGACTCAGACTCATTTAATATCACATTAGAAGAATTGTAGTAATTTAAGTCTTTAAGTAGCCAATATTATAATTGTTGTTACTAGAAAAAATAATACAACAATGGGATTCTAGTAAAAATCCCATTCATTTCCTCCACAGGTAAATTGATATTTAACTATAACTTTTAAAGACAGGCCTACTGTAAGCTATGAAGATGTTTGTTTGTTTTGGCCTATTTTAATATGCACATATATTTTAACTGTTCAAGGTTTGTTTTCAATTCAGTGTCTATTAAAGTTTTACATTACTCTGCAATCATTTTTACCTGCCAGACATGTTAATTGATATACTGGTAACTGCACTCTAAAAAATGCTGTGTTGTTCCAACCCAAATTTGGTCAAAATATGGACAAACCCAAATGTTGGGTTAAAAATATAATTCAAAATTTGAACCCAACTTCAACTTTCACTTTCAACTGTAATTTTTTTAATTACATTTTTAACCCAACATTTGGGCTTGACCCAAATTTGGGTTAAAACAACCCAGAATCGTTTAGAGAGTGTTATTTTTTTCAGTGCTTATCGGGATTGGCTTAACATGGATTTTATAGGTATTGTTGGACTTGGTAGCAATCATAAATCGATTATACCTGTGCCTGAAGTATAATAGAAACGTCCTGATGTGAATGTGGCAAGGAAAAGCAAGATTTCTTCCCTTGCTGTAGATGGCACTCAATCACAGATTAAATAGATTATTATTTTCTCTGCGCTGTCCTGTCCTTTACGCCATTGTTGACCGATGTCGAAAGTTTCCGGATAGGTATAGCTGTGATAATGTAAGCAGTGAGCAAGATGAACACGGCGCTGAAACACTGGAGAGAGGCGGCGACGGTGATCCTGGCGGCCGGGCTGAGACACACTTCAACTGCGGACTCTCTTAAAGCAGGTCTGGGAAAAGTCACTGATATTGCACACAAATCTGCCTTCGACTATCAAGTGCTGCTGCTGAAACGGAGCGGTTGCAGCGGGTTCATGCTCAATGCCTACGTGTTTCCCGGGGGGCTGGTGGAATCGTCTGACTTCTCCAGCGAGTGGCAGGAGATCTTTAAAGCCTTTACCGAAGCGCCCAACTACGGCATCGGAGTTGTGAAGCAGCCACCGGCGAGCAGGCCACCCATTTTCGCCACTGACAGATCTCAGCTGGGATCTCCGATACCGGGAGATGTGGCTTTCAGGATCTGGGCGGTGAGAGAGACGTTTGAGGAGTCAGGTGTGCTCCTGGCGGTTCCCAAACACGAGGAAAGCGGGATTTGCGTGCACACGGATGATAACAGTGACAGCCAGCCAACACTGACCAGATTGACCGGACTGTGGAGTAAAGACGTGCTGTCTAAGTGGAGATCTCAGGTTATTGATAACCCGGCGAATTTTTTCAAGATTTGCCGGGAGTTGCTAGCCTGACTTCATCAGGCTTCATCAGTTGCTAGTCAAACTCCTCCGTAGGGCTTTGATTATGAGGCGTGTCTTAACCGAACCAGGAAAAAAAAACAACCTTTGCACTCAATTGGATAGTCGGTAAACCTACAATCAGAGCAACGCAGTAAGTCAACTCCTTTGCATAGCGCAGTTTTCAACTATAGAACTTACTTATTTTAGAAGTTAAATAACGAGTGTTGCTTCTTTACTTACTCCTCCATGAGTGCGACCAAAGGAGAAACCACAACGACCACAGGCTTTTCATTACGTCCCATCTTCTTAGCGACCATCAGAGCCAGCTGATAAGTTACACTTTTGCCGAATCATGTAACAAGGACGGCAAAATATCTTGCCTATCGACAAATGTCTTGATTGCAGTTTTCTGTTCGTCTATTAAAATGAATGCGCTGTCGTTTTATTTTACAACAGACGCAGCGGAATCTATACATCTCAATTCTCCAGCTGCAGTCAGGGAAACCAGTTAAGCGCTCTTTGATAACGTGATGATTACGTCCTTGCAGATCATCTGTACATCATCGTATAAAGCACGCCCTGGCAATCTGATTGGCCCGTTCATTTTTTGACTGATCATAATTTCTCCTCAATGGATCGAGTCCAGACCGAACTTCCCGACCAAAAAAATGTTGTGGGCGGAGTTTGGGCTGGCATCCAGGCTAGGGAGTTGCAGTGTCTGCCCCCAACATCTGGGCTTTGCATGAATGGGGGAACTGGTTGACACCCATAGGCGTGTACGGCAAACAGAGGCGGTACGACACTGCACTTTACATCTGCTGCCTACACGAGATTCCATACATGCTTCACGACCAGAAGGAAATCGTTCATTTTAAGGTGCGTTTTGAACAAGGGGGTAATCCATCAGCCGGAAGTTGAAGCTGCCTCCGGGGCCGCCATTGTAGCGGGCTACCTGCTGTTAGCATCCCATTGACTCCCATTAATTTTGGCGCCACTTTGACAGTGAATAACTTTACATCTGAGGCGTCCAAAAGACTATTTTTATCCATTTTTTATTTCTAAAAAAACACGACAATGTATAAAAGGCTCCATTACTTTGTATGTTACGTTATGGCCACATAGAAGCCGTTCTTGTAAAAATAGGCTAAAAATTGCGTCATAAACACTCGACTGTCCGTCGCACCGTAGCAAAGTTACCGTATAGACAGGAGGAGAAGCTCGCACAGGCTCGCAGGCAATCTTTTACTGTCTAAAGTCACCCCATGGCATAAATAGAAGCAAAATGACAAAATAATTAATTAGCATACTTACCAAAAGTTGCTCCAGGTTGCGCTTCGCCGTCTCTGTGCACGATTAAAATGTGTCTTGGCACAGCAGCTACTCAAAGAATAGGTGGTTTGCAGTCACGTGATTGTGTTGACGCGCGGAATGCAGATGGAGGGCAAGGAGTGAAGAGCGCAATGGACGAGATGGAGGAAAATCCGTACTGTACTACTTTAGATGCTATTACAAGAGAAATATATCAACAGAAAATGGAAACATATGTTGGACGTGATCCTGACGTTATGAAGAGGCCCGATTTTCAACTGAATTGAGAGATTTGCCTGTACCCAGATAGCAAACTGACATTGAATCAACGTGGAAATATGACATCGAAACAACGTTGATCTGACATTGTTTTGCTCATCGAATTAACGTTGAACCAACGTCAGACGCGTCATTCTTTCAAAACTAACGGAAAATCAACTTGAAATCAACGCGTTGTTTCAACGTTATGAAAGCAAACCAATTTTCGATTTTCATTTAGCTTTGAAGAATGCCGCATCTGACGTTGGTTCAACGTTAATTCGATGAGCAAAATCAACGTTGTTTCAATGTCACGAGAGACGTCATTTCCACGTTGATTCAATGTCAGTTTGCTGTCTCGGTAGATATCAGCAACCAACTCGTCTTACAGACATACTTTGACTTTACAAAGTTCGGAAACTGGTACGTTACACGAACAGCCACAAAAGTGTTTTATAAACACCGGAATAATGTAATTATAAGCCACATAAATAATGTATTAACCAGGCCCGGCTACAGGATGAAATGACTGAGGGGGCATGTGAAATTGTTAAGGGGGCTTAACTTTATACCATCAATGAACAATCAACACACCTCGCTTTGGAACAACATATTTTTAAATGCAGCGCTAACACACTCCGTATGCAACCGCTTATTAAAAAGATAAGCCAGCATCATTTTTTATTTATATATGAACTCTTTCATGCTTAAGTTTAAAATATTCCGACTTACTCCCCAGAGTGAGTTTTTATTTTAGAACGTTCCCCCTTAATGTTTCCATGGCAACGCGTCATATTTGTCACGTGACAGTCACAATGAATGACAGATGTGTATCGCTTTTATTTCATTTTTCCTTTTTTATTTAAAATATTCACAAACTTGCTTACCATGTCATCAACTATCTGATATTCCGATTGTCAAAAATGTGTAAGTGAGTGTGTTTGGTTGTTTAAAACCTTTATAAATAATCTTGATCTTTATCTATAACGTGAGATGACACCACTTTTATTTGCGCCGCAGTTCAGAGAGTCCTATCAGTCATTATCAGTTTCTCCCGAGATATATGTAAGAAAGTGGCCGGTGAACTGTGAGATGAATAAAGTAAACTTTATAGTCATTTCCACTATGTTTGTCTGATATGAATAACACACGTTGGCAAATTTGAATAGATTGTTATTGCTGCTTCCACAGACATCCGTGTGTATTTTACAAACTCCAAATGTACTGTTTTACTAGTGCTTAAGTGAATTTCAATGTCTGAAACCTAAAATAAACATTATGAGGTTGAAACACTGCATAGTTTTGATATATGACAGCGCTGTCCGTACGTCTCTGGCTCAGTGTCTCTGGCTCAGTGCCAACCAACGCGAATCTGGTCACGTCACTGAACATTATACATCCCTTATGGGACTGTACCGCTCAAAAGGTTAAACATTTCATTTGTAACCATGAATACAAAAATGAAACTGAGGGGGCACAAATGAGATCTGAGGGGGCAATGCCCCCTTTTGCCCCCTCGTGGCGCCGGGCCTGGTATTAACTCACATTTGACGAAGTGATCACTGTACACACACAGGCCTTTTTCCATTCGGCTCCTCCCGACCACAGACGTAGGTTTGCAAGGCATTTTCCCCGGTGTTTTTCTGTCAATTTCTTGTATTTTCCCGCCTTATGAACAACATTTGGCACACGATAAAACTCCTCGTGGTTTGATCGATTTGAGCAACCATAAACGACGCAAAACATAGGCATTTTGAGTTTGTTATAGTGCTTCCTAAATATTGAAAATCACTTCCTGCCCTCCATCTGCGTTTCGCGCCATGGCAACGCAGTGGCGTGACGTCACGTGAAAACAAGCTATTACAACTGTCAGTCAGTTTGCTCGTGAGCGACATCTACGTCGTCAAGCTCAGTTTGAGCCTGCGCAGAACGCTTGGCTATCAGGAAGTGAGTTCTCATGTTGAGCTTCAACCACAGGCTTCAACTCTCTCCGTTGAAATCAACGGGGTCGCTGTGTCCATTTCTTTTACTGTCTATGGTTTTGAATGGTAAGTTGGTATGGTAGAATGGTAGAGATACCTTAATGCATTTTAAAATTGTATTTGGCAGACACTCAATCACTGAGCGTGTATTTCATCAATGCATTCGTGACCAATTAGTTGAAAAGACTTTGCTCGTTAATATCAATGTATTTTCTGCAGCGTCCACCCATGGCCTGATTAATATTTATAAGTTAAGCGTTCATTCGCCAGCAATGCTGCGCCCACTTTACGCCATTTAGCAACTGTCCAAAACGTCACCAAACATAATTAATATTCATAAACCAGGGCATATTAGGTAATTCGGTCTCGCCCAGATGAGAACTACTCTTGTCTGTTGGGAAATAACACAACTGCCTTGTCTCTCAGTGGTCCACTCCCTCAGAAGTGCTGCACAGCTACAAATCAAAGGAAATCTGGATAGCTCCACCTCAGTACTACGACCTTGGACGCATGTGGCATTTCCCAGCTCTCGGAGATCTCCATCGCTTTGCCTGGCAGAGGTCTTTAGAAGGATGTGAGCAGTGGCTGCCTATTTACCTGGTGTCACCTGACTGCCATGCAAGTCTTTCACCATGCAAGTCTTTCGTCTTTCACCAGGTAATTGTCACATAATAATTATTTTTAGCTGTCTGGTAAATGTTGCTTTTTGATGGATAAGAGTGCTGTGACAGTTAGGAACTCATTTGCACAAAACTGAACCCTTTCCCCCCCTGGACCATCAAGATAATGGCAGCATGGATGGTCTTTTTGACTTTTGATGGTACTTTTCAGTAGATTTAGTATCAGTAGCTGCTTGTGGACATCAGCCTGACTGTCTTAAGTGTAGATGAGAATGCAATATTTCCTTATCTGTGTAGAATGAGAAAGCAAATGCCGTAAAATGGGCAAAGGTCTTTTGATGACTTTATTTGCACAAAATGTATTTGACTATCTAATGCATAAATAAATGGACCTTGAAGAGAAGTTTAATCATAAACTTATCATAAATAAATAATGTATGTGAATTCTTCTGCTGAGTTTACAGCAGTATTTTAGTATTTTTTTCTTCTTCTTTTTTGCAGCCAATTCTAGTCTTTGCTTCTTGACTATAGTATAAACTGAATCTTTGACTATTGTACTGCAGTTGCTATGAGACAAAATTGAAGTGCAAGTGGAGCAGATGTTATGTGTATGAATAAAAAGATCTGTCAGAGAGCCCATAACACGTTGACGCTCATTCACCTGCATTAGCAACACTTAAAGCATTCTAATGTCTTTAAACATTAACTTGGCCTTTAGGATGCTTGAAGTAATCTGAACTACACTACCAAGAACAAGACATCAGAACAACAGAAATGAAAGTGCTATATTCCCTAGATCCAGACTTCCCTAGATTTCTATCTGTCTTTTAGTTCACATTTCGTATTTTTTGTTCTTTTTATTTATTGGTTAACTTATTAGCCTATTTTAAATTGATCACTGTAATTATGTTTATAAGAAAGAGTATATAATAATTTTTGTATGTATTTATTCAGGCTGACTGCACAAAGTTAAAACTGAACTGTTGACCCTGTGAAGGATGGATGAGGATCTGAAAAAAGTGGACACTCACAATGGGAGCGTTCCAGAGGCTTTGAAAACTAAAAAGCACGAGCAGCCAAAAGCAGCAGTTCTGCGTCAAGATGTGAGTATGAGAGAATGAGGCACATTACACTAAAGAATGTGAAGAATGTTCAATGATCAATGGTTTCCACCCAGAGTCGAGTCGATGCGATGCGTGAGTAAGTGTGTGAACTGTGGGTTAACCTGGCAGTGCCTGTCACCATCACTACAGTGTAATCTCTTCCTGTCCTGGCACCTGTCCGAGCATTCTTTTGTAGCTCTCATTAATGACACGTTTGATTATTTATAATTGAAGAGTTCAGATGCAAAAGCCTCTAAGTGCCATTTGAAGTTTTCTTCTAAAATTATCATTTTTATCAAGCTTGTATATTTAAGTTCAGTGATTTCACTTAAATGGCAATGAAGATTACCTATTAATTGTCATTTAAGTGAAATTACTGAACTTAAATTTACAAGCTTGATAAAAATGGTCATTTTAGAAGAAAATTTCAAATGGCATTTAGAGGCTTTTGCATCTGAACTCTTCACATGTAAAACTGCATACATAAGGACATGGAAGGTCTGTTAATATGAATTGCTTTAAGTAGTTATTGCAACCCTTGTTCTTCATGACCTTATATTCAGAGAAAACAATCAGGCAATATAAAGCGAAATCTAAAGTGGAGTGATATTTAATTTCATTTATTTTCTATTCTCTCTTTTCATGGTAATGCAACACGAAATACCACAAGAACAATTTAACAAATCAAACCAACACAAAGTACATTCCATGACAAAAAAAAAGAACAGGAGTAGGATGAAGAAAAAAAATCTTATAAGCTCCTACCCCATTCCTATAAACAAGATTCACAAATTAGATGACCTCACCAACATAAAATGACAAACAACAGAAAACTTAAAGAAAAAAAAAATATATATATATATATATCTATACACAAGCATATACACATACATATACGACAAGCCCAAACCAGATATAATCTACCTTCAATTATAACACATTTTTCTCTCTTTGTCTATTATTATTATTCATATTATTATTATTATCTATTAATTCTAATTCTGCTTACATGATAGATAACAAAACCAACAAGGACAAAATAATGCCAGATCCAACAGCCAAAATAGCAACAAAAGCATAACTATTGTAATAATTCTAATAGTTTTCACATTCTTCTTTATAGACTTTAAGTATCGTTTGTTTATAATTATTTTTAAATTGTAAGATATTTGAACAACATTTTAGATCATTTTCTAGAAGATTCCATCTTTTCACACCAGAGACTGAAACACACATTTGTTTGAGTATTTCCAGCAAAAGGTTGTTTGAAGTCATTATTTCTTCTGCTTGTCTCACTATTAAAGTGAAAAGGTTTTGCAAGTCCACACGGTAACAGGCAGTGTTTAGCTTTGTGAACAACTAACAAAGTTTGTAAAGAAACCAAGTCCTTCAATTTAAGTAGTCCTGACTCCAGAAACAGTCCTGTAGTGTGTTCTCTCTGGGAGCAACTCATGAATTATTCTCAAGCCCTTTTGTTTGCCAAAATAAACAAGGGCGCTAAATTTGTAAAATAAGAATTCCCCAAATCTCCAAACAATACATCAAATATGGCAAAATAAAAGAACAATACAGAATTCTCATTGCCTTACAATTTTACATAAACTTTACTTTACTCATAACGGCAATGTTTCTACAAATTTTATTTCTTACATAAGCTATGTGTGACTTCCATTTAAGTTTTTCATCAATGAGTACTCCAAAAAACCTAAATTCTGACACTCTCTCAATAATTATTCCATTAAAACTCAGACTAACATTGTC